AAAATAGTTGCAGAGAAATCAATGTATTTCGGGAGTGGCATTCTTTTTTCTTTTGCAGAGAAATAAATGTGACTTTCCATTTTGCCCACAAGTAATTATGAAATGTGAATAATACAAACATAATGGGGTGAATTATATTTGTTGTGTTTTATTAGTACGTACTACAGAATCTCTACATTTACTATTTCAATGTAACGAGAAATTAGTAAATTCATAATTTCATATCAATTTGGTGATCATGATTGATGCAAAAGGCATAAAGAAAGTGGAATTTAGAACAATTTGTTGTTAAAAGAAGTGTTATTGTTTAGTAAACTTTAACTAAACTAGTGGATAATGTATGTTAAATTTGACCAGTAATAACTGATTACAATAATGAAATGCTTAATTTAATTGATGTACAATATTATATGAAACTTTGTTAGAGGTCCTAATTTTTAATTAAGGTTCGTGTATCTGTTGTCATCAGGCAATACTAGAAAGAAACCCTTCATCAAATATAGCCCCAAAATTTTATATTAAATTACATGAATTTGTATTTTAAACTAGGTTCATTATCCAATTCAATAGTTTGTGATTTCGAAGAATCAGTCCGGCCTTTTGAGTTAGGTTTTCTCTCATCTCCAAAGATTGTGTTTTTTCAAAGGAGAGCGAAAAAAGTGGGGAGGGAGGTGGCTAGTGGCCAACTCCCCTATTTTCCTTCTCCGTTTTCTCACAGTCCTGCTGCGTTTTTTTCAAAGGGTGTTCCTCTCTGATTTGCTACAGTTTTTCCATGGTTTTTTCAAGTATAGATCGAGATACTATAGAGATCTCACTTGCGGTTATGTAGAGGAGACTTTCGAAGAGGATCCTTCTTTCCCGCTAGTTTCTATGATGGTGGGCGGTGGCCGGGTGTTGAGGATCTCCTTGTTGGATGCTGATAATGCTATTGCGGCTGACAAAATCAAAGTCAAAATTGTTATGTATGGTCATCGGTTCGTCACTAGGGCATTTTGAAGAGTTATCAAGCACAAAATTAGAGATGGCTTCCGCCTGCGATCTTTTGGGATGACTCTTCATTTTCATTGCATTATGGTTCAGAGAACTTCTATAGTTCAGAGGCAAAGATGACGGAGCAGAAGGTGAGCGCTCAAACACCATTTTAGAATATGTGGAGGCTATCATGTTAATTGTACATGATTTGGAGAATTTCTCTAATCTTTCCTTACATGTCATGGTGAAGAATAAAACAACTTTGAAGGCAATTATTTCCCTTCAAATCCTAATAGGGTTGTCATAATTGACAAGATCCCTCCGTTAATCGATGAATCTCCCCCAAAATCATTAAATGTGATAAAAAATGTTGTGACTTTTGGAGAAAGAGTTTAGTGGGCTAAAATTTGTTTATATTCCTAGTTTCCTGAACATGCAATCTGTTTTACTAGCCAAAGTGTAGTGATCATTTATCTCTCTTTTGGGATAGTTGTTATCATTTGTGGCTTCTATTTGTGACATCTTTTTTGATGTAACCCTTAGTGGTCATGTTTCTTTTTAATGAAATGTTTCTTTGATAAAAAAAAAAGTTTGTGATTTGAAATTTTATGACAAATATGAAAATTGAACAAGATAAAATGGAATTTGGCGAATAAAATTGAGTGAGTGAAATTTTAATGGGTAATTTGTCCAAAAGGACTATGGTTAATTAAGGGGGAATAGATTCAAACTCCATGATGATCACCACATACGTATTTTTGTTACATTATAAAATGTTCATGTTAAAAGGTAGGTTTTGTAGACAATTTTATAAAAATTGTCATGCTAAAACTATGATTCAAATAAACAAGATAAAAAGTGAAAATGGAAAGACCAAAATAGTCCTTTCTAAAAATACAATGAATAAAATGAACCAACATTAAAAGTATAATATTAAAATAGACATTTCAAAAGTACATAAATAAAATAAATTAAAACGATCAAAATAATAGTTATACCAATTTTATTCAGTAACATAATAAACTTATATTTATTATAATATGTTGGGAGACCTATATTTTTATAAAGTATTATAATAGATTTAGAAAAGGGAAAAGTAACATGTTGACTTATATATATGCATTATTATCGACTAAGACTAACAATTAAAAATCATCAAATACATATTGCTGATATTTTCTCTCACATTTAAAATTTGTAAACTTACTAATAAATATTGTTTAATATTTAGTATTTGTGTATATAAAAAGAAAAGACAACCGATAATAGAAGAAATTAAAAATTAATGGCGAAGGAGGAAAATTCGATGCCCAATCTTTTACCCCTCGGAAGGGCAATGAGGTGGCACATGTCTTTGCCATCCACGCAAGAACAAAGAACCACGCAAATATATATTAAAAAATAATTAAAATTCTAAATTAGTAAAACATATCGTTGAGAGTGAAAGTCGAGCACGCAAAGGGTTTGACTCGAAGGATGACAGCCAATGGTAGGGATCAGGGTCTACACAAGGCGCATGGTTAAGGAAGAACGAGGCGTAGGCACCTGCAACCTAGTACATACCAAAAGTGTCCCTTAACCATCCGTCGAATCTCGTACGAGCTTCACTGTGCTGCGTGCTAAACCTCCCTTCTTTGTTGGCCATGAGCGTCTATAAAAAGAGCCCGTCACAACGACCACATGGTAAGTGAAAAATCTGTAACTACATTCTTAAGGTGCTCTTTATTATCTTCTTCTTCGACATTGTTGGAGAATATTAGGTAGGGTACTGCATCGTTGTCGAGAATCATTGTTGTTGACCCATCTAATCCGAAAGACACGTGGACCTCTCTGAAACTCTACATCCACACCTATTATGATACCAAATTGATGAGACTTTAGGAGAAAGAAAAACAATAATACGACTTAATTTTTTTTAGTATAATATGTGGGGTTGGGGATCCAACTCACAATTTTTTAGTTGAAAATATATGTCCTACAACTTAATTTTTGTTGAAATTTATAAATTTTGAATGATTTATTAATATTGATATTTTGCATGAATAGAGCTTAAATTTGTACCATATTTTATTTTGGTAAAATTAGCAAATTTGAAAATTTTCTTTTAGATGTCCACTGAACTGAGTTGAATGATAATTGATATTTGTATTTGTCTAAGAGTTCTGACTTTAACCGTCTACATTTTCTTTTCACCCTTGCTCGTATTTTTTTCGGGTCAAATTCGTGAAAGTTAATTTGAGGGTAAAAATGTAACATTCATTTAAGTCGAGAGCTTAATTTGAAAAATCAAAGATTCATGGGGGAAATTGATAATCTCGATCGGGTAAAATTTGATTTTGTGCGAAAACATAAAAGAAAAGCGCTGGAACTTGTGAAAGATCCCTTCCATGGCGAGGCGAATTTTCTCTCTCGTTTCGCGTTATCGGTCCCAGACCTCTCTCCCCCATGGTGAGCTTCCATTTTCTCCTCTCACGCAAACCCTATTTTCACACTATATTTCTTAGTCCTATCAATCTCTTTTTCTCTGATATGCTCTGCTGCTTTACTTGATTTGGTCTCCTCTACATTAATGGGAGAATCTCGTCTTGAAGCACGAGCCCAGTAAAATGAGTGTATTGGCTATTTATTTCCCGACTGCTCAAAGAGGTTCAAGGAAGAATTCTTTGTACTCTCTTTAAATTAGAGCAAGTTGCGTCGATGACATTCTTTTATAAGTGATTTCTATGAATTCTGATGTATAAATAAGTCCAGTTCTTTAGTTGAAATGAAATTTGGGAAGAATTGTTCTGCGGGGGGGTGGGGAAGGGGAGAGGGGTTGGAAGAGAAGATTTGTGCCTCCCTGTATTTCGTACTAATGCTTCAAATTGTGAAGTCTGAAGTTCTAAAATTACTAATTTGATCCATAGTTATTGACTTCTAATCTTTGAAGTAGACAATTTGGGATCCGACTAATTTGATTTCAGCAGCAGTGAAATGGGATCGACCAAAGGCGGTATCATGGTTTCTAAGTAACTTGTGAAGCTTCAAGTGCTCTTTAACTTGAATATGGACCTTTGTCGTATTATTTTATCATAAACTTGGCTATTTCCATATACCTCCTCCTTCAGGTAGTCATGAAAGAGCGAAGAATTCTTTCTGATGGTATCATATTCTCCCATTCATGCATTTATTATATGTTATAATGGAATCTCCTTTCAGGCTCTTAAGATCTTTGTTGATGGGTCGACAATGTTTGACAATGATGTAAATGTGATTTTAGAAAATGACAAAAGTGATTGTGACTATCATGTCCTTCCATTAAAGAGTTTAAGGAAATTTTCTCGTAGCTTTAAAAGAATAAATACTGTTGGAATCATTTCATTATCCGGTGTCCCAATCTTGATGTTTCTTCAGTTTGAATATATTTAAACTGGGTAGAAATTCCCATCTTATTTCTTTTCTTTTTGTTTATTATTTTTGCATAAGATTCATTTTTCATTTATAGTCATTGCCATAGTGTCCCCATCCCCATGCCACTCTCTATTTGACCATTGAGAAATTTCAGCATCTTGAATGATTTCCTGTGTTCCAATTGCTGACAAGAACAACTTTTAATGGCAGAGTGCACTTGCCAAATCCACCCTTTTGCAAATTCACGCTTCTTGACCGGACACAGATTTTTGAGAAGAGGAAATCAGACCATCGCAAATCCAGCAGTTGCTGAGGATTCTAAAGACAATGAAGATAATAAGCTGCAGCCCGTTTCTGACTCGATCGATCCCCTTGATCAGGAAAAGAACGATGATAGTGCTGCTGTGAAGTATTCTGTTATCTCCAACTTAAAAATGTCCCCTAGGCATGACCTTGCCATGATATTCACTTGCAAAGTGTGTGAGACTAGATCAATCAAGACAGTTTGCCGCTCATCATACGAGAAGGGCGTGGTAGTGGCCCGTTGCGGTGGATGCAACAACCTACACCTGATTGCAGACCATCTGGGGTGGTTTGGCGAGCCAGGCAGCATCGAAGACTTCCTGGCTGCTCGTGGTGAGGAAGTCCGAAAAGGTTCTGTTGATTCACTGAGTCTTACACTTGATGATTTGGCTGGAAAGAAATCCTGATATTTTGGAACTTCACTACAATCTCATAGCATTTGAGCTAGAATGGAGCGAGTCTTGTGTACGTGTACGTGGACGTGGACTAGTTTTAGTTTGAAACTAGAAAGTTAGAAACTACTTTTTAGCTGTATGTGATGGGGTCAGATAAAGAGGTTTCAAGGGGCTGTGATTCCACTGGGCAAAGTTTGAGTTTGGGAATGTGCTGCTGCCTGAAGCAGATGCTTTCTCTTAAGGTGTGCTGTCAATTACTAAAACCAATACTCAAATCTTTAATTTCCCTTATTGTCTTGTTATCTTGATCATGAGATTTGACAAGAAATAGGAAGAATCATCAATCAACTTATTGTCTTCTTTTATTTTGTGTCTTTCTTTATTTACTCCCCTCATTCATATTCATCATTATCATGAGAAGATTTTAATTCTGTTAATGATATATCTGCCTAAAATGAAATTGTCAAATAAGATTTGGCATACGTATCATAAATTCTGATTATCGTATTAATTATTAACATCTCAACTTGATGGATTCTATTTTATAGGTTACGGTTTTCAATTAAACAACTCCGGCGGCCATGAATGAGCTACAGATGACCGCAGACTACCTTGAATATCCATTATTCTATCAGCAATTTGTGCATGAAATATGTTGCAAACGTAATAGAAAGCATGCATATATTAATATAAGTTTTAAAGTATACAAAATGCCTCTAGACTTTCAATAGTTTCATCTCTACCTTAAAATTTTAAATTTGTTTTAAAATTACTCTTTCCTCGTGATGTAGCAGTGACTTATAAAAGCAGTGGTACACATTGCATCGCATAGGTGATAAGTTCCAATTATGACCTTGTAATCTAAGTTAGGTTTCAATTATGTCTTTATCATTTGTATTTTAAGGTAGGTTTCAATTATGTCTTCATTTCAAAAGTTTTATTCTCTTTACATTTTGGAAGAAACATCCTCATTAGTTTTGGAGATAGAGTTTTAGTTGAAATGATGAGAGAAGTCATATATTGTGGAAGTTGCATCGGTAAAAATTACAACCACTTTAATTCACAACTCATGAGATGAATATAATTATTGTTTATAGGAAAAATTGTGCAAAGAGTTGATGCATCGAAAGTGAGTCTCTAAAAACTAACACAACAAAGAAAAAGACTAACGAACGAAGGAAGACAATCTTCATCCTCAAAGGTAAGAAATCTATGAAGAAACAATGATATTTAGATTTAATTGTGTTGGATTTCTTTGTTTGTTTCATCCTCCCTAAATACCCTAATATTAATTTTCATCAATGGATGGTTAGATAGAGGCTCCAAAATTTGTTTGTCCGTCATGGTCTCACCCTCTCCCTCTCAACAAATTTTGTCTCCGTGACAGTCATATTTACATCTTCATTTTAAGTTGAAAATTTAATAAAGTTGTTTTGAAATAATTTGGATGGTTAATGGTTATAATAAAAAATTTAATATGATAATGCACAATTGAAATATGTCATAAAGTTCGAAGGGATAAATAAAACACGTGTACCATTATTTTACTAGTAATAGCCAGTCACTTTTTCATCAAGGAAAAATGGATGAAATAGTAATTTCGAAACAAGCAGTTTAAGAATAAAAATAGGAACTTTTGAAAGCACAGGGATATTATTGAAACTTACCTATACCGAAATGAAACTCGGGTCAGACCCGTGGGTCGGGCACGAGGTTCGGGTCAGGATCCGGATGAAGCAGTTGAATTCAAAGCTTCTGAAGCTGAAATTCCATACTTTAATGGGGAAATCCACGAGGCCAGAGTCTGAAAACTACTCTAATTTACTGGAGAAGCCAGAGCAGAGCCATGGGCAGCTTGTGTCTTCCTTCTGCTTTCTCTCCTCGTATTCGCAATTTGACTGCAAGAAATTCCATGGCAATGGTGGGTTTGCTCTCTTATCCGCCCAACACCTTGCCTCCGCCCTTCCTCACCAAAACCTTCCGCTTCATTTCACTTTCAACTGAAACAAAACCGCCCAGAAAACTTTTCCAAGGTTATTTTGCATCAATTCTGTTCCATTCGACGTCTTTTTCTTCCTCTGTCTGATTGCATATTCAAATTTGTTTGTTCTGATTATCTTTTCTTAGCTCCTTTGAGGTCGATTAGAAACTTCTTAATTACTTGCGCACGTAATTTCGATTATTGGGTAACCTAATGCGACTAAGAAATATATAATGGGCGGGTTTTCATGTCAACCAGCTGATTCAGTGAGAAGGTGAGAAAGGAAGAATAAAAATTCGCTATGAAAATCTAATGTTACTTTTCTAATGTTGGCAATAATTGTTTTTACGAAGGTAGAAATTGAACAGAGTTCCCAGTAGTTCCTCTGAGGATAACTTCTACTCGTGGCGTGAGCTTATTCTCTCTCGTATCCACTCGTTCTCGATCGGAAAGTTAATTTGATTGCAATCATTCTCATTGTGGATAATCGGGATAATTTTCTTTTCTGGGGAAATAGGGAATTGATTATGTAATTAAGTCGTGGAGTTCAATGTGGATTTTTGTAAGTGAATAACTTCTTATTTTATTTTTAAAGCAGTGAGATCAGTGGCTACCCCTGCAGAAGGTATTGCTGGGTTTGAGAGCATGATCTCTGGAACAGAGCGAAAGTATTACATGCTAGGCGGAAAAGGAGGTGTTGGAAAGACAAGTTCTGCTGCTGCTTTAGCTGTGAAGTTCGCGAACAGTGGCCACCCCACGCTTGTTGTTTCTACTGATCCAGCACATTCGTTAAGTGATTCATTTGCTCAGGTATGATGTGTCTTTTTTCTGTTGTGCTATCAGCTTCAACTGGAACTCAAAAAGGTGATATGTGACTGGTTGATTTTAGGATTTGACTGGCGGTACACTCGTTCCAGTTGAAGGTCCTGACTCTCCATTATTTGCTCTTGAGGTAATTCAGAAGTAATTCCTGTTTTCATGTCTATTATCCTTTGAGATCCCTTATCCAAAAAAAATTATCCTTTGAGATCCCACTTACATATGGTCCTTATAGAAGTGAGGATATGGGAGTAAATACTAGGAGCAATTTACTTTCTTCTTGATGTGGTGCTACTTTTATGATCCCAGCGGGTAAAATTCTGTATCATGACAACAGATAAACCCTGAGAAGGCTAGGGAGGAATTCCGTAGTACAGCTCAAAATAATGGTGGAACCGGCATCAAAGATTTCATGGATGGCATGGGCCTTGGAATGCTTGTAGAGCAGGTAAAAATATATTATTTACAAAACTGTTTTTAGTACAGCGATGTGTCAAGTGAAGTGACTTAACACACTATGTGTATCCACCCCTTAATCACACTATTTACTGCATGACATGATTGTGCTCTGATGTTAAACATTTTGACTAAAAAAATTCATGCTTGCACTGTTATGGAACTTTCTTGACCAAACTGGAAACATTTGAAGTTCCTAAGTTACTGGTACTAGGATGACTACGCTATATTTAGATGCATATGGATTGAGGCTGAGCATTATGGAAGCCTGAAAGAATGAATCTCTGTCACTTTGGTTTTCTCTCAATTTGCTTTTTAATACTGAATGTGATGGAAGGAATATGATTATGCATAACTCTTTTGCATGGATGTAAATATTTGACGGGCTGCTTAGTTAGGAGAGTTAAAACTTGGAGAATTGCTGGACACACCGCCTCCTGGTTTGGATGAAGCTATTGCAATTGCAAAGGTATGTATTAAACCATTGCTTAATCTGCTTTACGTTTGTGCTTGACATGTCTTTGGGATTCTCATGGTTTTAATACTAGTTATTTCCAGGTCATTCAATTTCTCGAGTCTCCAGAGTATAGCATGTTTACTCGAATAGTTTTTGACACAGCACCCACGGTGAGCTATCCAACGTGTCCTAATTCAAATTAATTACTTAGACCATTCATTTAACGTTCTGTTCTCTGGGTATTCAGGGGCATACTTTACGGCTTTTATCCCTGCCAGACTTCTTAGATGCTTCCATTGGCAAAATATTAAAGGTATGGTTAATTAAGAACGTCAAATTGATTCTAGATTCCAATCTAAACGGTAATTGACTGTTGTTACTTCTATGAATTATGTATTAACTAGGAATGCCTACTGGATCTCCAAATTAGATCTCTGAATTCAACGCATTGCTCAATGCTCACTACAAATATTGTTGTTTGCATTGTTGTCTTAGCCTTTTTATTCATCACTTTTTCAAAACCTTGTGTCACCGTGAATGATTTGCTTAATTAGGATTTTGCCTCAGCTTTGAAGGAATCTTATTTCATTCATAACTTTTCCCTTGAATCTGAAATCATACTGCATTATGAAATCTTGCTACGGAAACATCCTTAATTATCCATTGTGGCATAATGTTCATGACAGAATAGGAAGGATTATCAATACTTTGGAATCATGGTTATAGAAACTTTGGAATATTGCTTTCTTTGGGCTTTTTTTCTAGCATGTTTATGGTTGATTTTGTATGATCTTACATTCTTACTTGATTTGTTTCCTCTTATGATCTGGTCTTTCGATATTGATTGAACAATTGAATTCTATTTCAAATCCAATATTAAGCCGCTCTTATTCTGCTGTTTTCTGTCTCCTCTCTCCCTATTTTTCCCGTTCTCCTTCCTGCTTGTTCTGCATCAACTGGTTATACAAACTATATTGCTGTTTTCCTTGCAAATGCATCTTTGACCTAAATAGATCGCAAATATGACAACTTAACTTGAACTAACAATAGAAGGAACTTTAACAATCTTTAAACTAATATGTTGGGTTTTTCCTGTTCCCTTATAGTAGTGCATCTCTTATTTATACCTATTATTTAGACATTTATTTTTCAATTCACACATTCTGTTTCAGCTTAGACAAAAAATAGCTTCAGCAACCTCAGCCATTAAATCTGTATTTGGACAAGAAGATAAGCGGCAGGATGCAGTAAGTAAGCCTACTGTCATAGAGCTAATAGTAAACTCATTCTGCTATTTAATTAATTACATTCGTTTTGTGCAGGCTGACAAATTAGAGCGATTGAGAGAGAGAATGATAAAAGTTCGTGAGCTTTTTCGTGACAAAGATTCTACAGAATTTGTCATAGTTACAATCCCCACGGTACTAAACAATCTGATTATAGTTATATGTACCTGGCTAAAGATAGGCATGAACTAGGACTCCTTTTTTTTTCCTTCATGAAACCTTTATGCTTTAATCATAAGATGTCTGTTCCGTTGAATTCCACTTGCTCAACATGACACAAGATTATGTGTATCTCTCTGCAAAAATCCGTTTATGTCATTGTTGTCACCCAAGTGTCATGAAAATGAATATATTCATTTATTGGTAGTTGCCAAATCGTGGAATAAGTAACTGTCTTATTCTAGAACAAACTATACGGAAAGTGAATATTGATCTTATCAGCTTTTAGTACTACCTGAGCTCATCATATATGAGAATCGCTGAAATTATGCATTTTGTCAAGGTTATGGCTGTGAGTGAATCATCAAGGCTGCATGCTTCTCTGAAAAAGGAATCAGTTCCAGTCAAGAGGCTTATTGTGAATCAGATTCTTCCTCCGTCCGCATCAGATTGCAAGTTTTGTGCAATGAAAAGAAAGGTATTATCCTCAACGACTCAATGGTAAATGTTCAGTTCTGTTCAATTTTTTGACATAACTTTTTACCATTGATGATCATCATATAAATCTCGCTTAGGAAGAGTCCCAAATGCAAGCTGCATCATCCAAAACAGCTTGAAGCTTAGCTTAAGCTGATCTTTCTTTATTCAGCTAAGTCATTGTTGAGGGTGGAGCATAATGTTTAGTTACATTGATAATGTTTCAGGATCAATTGCGTGCTTTGGATCTCATCCGAAACGATCCAGAACTCTCGAGCTTGATACTGATCGAGGCACCACTAGTTGATGTGGAGATTAGAGGTGTTCCAGCTCTTAAATTTCTTGGAGACATCATTTGGAAATGATTATGCTGTACAAGAAAACACAAAGAAATTTGCAGGTAACTTTTTTGTTACCCTCTTCAATGGTCTTTTCCTCTTAGAAACTTTTGGATATGTAGAGAAAAACCCTTCCTTCCAAACATATGTGAGAGAGAGAGAGAGATGCATAAAACACAGGTTTCCCAAATTTAGAATTCATGAGATTTAGTAACAAAAAAAAAAAAAATTGAAGTTTTACGGAATGGGAAATATGAATGTTGTATATTCTTTTGGGACAATGTTTGTTTAGAAGTAAAATAAGATGTATTTTTTCGGCATCGAGGCCACATCTTGTGTTATGTTTATGGTTCACCATCTACTAATTTTTAGGAAGGAATCTCGTCGTCACCTCAAAACTAACTTTGGAAGACAACAAGGACGCTTAGGTTATTAAAATTTCGATGCAAGGGCCGAGAACTGCACATCGCACATCGCTTGTTTGGATTAGTGAACACAAGTTGATTTCATTTTCTCACCATTGAAACCTTGGAGTTGAGGGATTGATGTTCTGAACTATTCATTCAATAGGTGCATAACAAAGAAAAACAAATAAATTATGGGGTCAACTGTTTGTATTAGTGCTTTCACTGCATCACATAGATGTTTGAATCACAGTTTTTGTTGAAATTAGTGACAATATTCCTAATGAAATTGAAAGGTGACAGGGATGTGGATGCAACCAATAACTTCCTCAATGTATTATTAAATTATTTACTTTTCTTTTAAATTATTATTATTCCTTACTATTGCTTTTCCCAATTAATACGAGAATATATGATGTTGAAATTTGTGGGATTTGACTATAGTGGTGTGGTGTGGTGTCCCATTAATAAACTCAATGCATCCATGAAAGTTTATTTTACCAAAATTTTGTTATTTAATCCATATTCAAGTATTACTTTTATTTGCATTCTTTTAGTATTCAAACTTACGATTTTTTGATCGAGATATATGTGTGTTTTATTATATAATTGAGAATTAAAAGAAATTTATGTGGGGAGGAAAATTAGAATATGAAAAATAACGATTATATAAACTAGAGCAAACATTTTATATTGCAAATGAGTAACAACATAATTATCTTTCATTATTATCAATTTAATAAGTGGATGTAATTGCAATTACATTTTGTATCAATATATACATTCGATACATTATATTAATATATATACACGCATTCAATAACACTTAATAAAATCCAAGAGTACTAAAAAAACACATAATATAAAATATTGTCTTAAAAAAAAATTAATCATCCACGACACGCCCAATGATTTCATAAATTATCAATAAAAGCTAGGATTAATATGCTATTTTATTTGCACGTCTAATTAAACAAAAATGTAAATATCTGATCTATAATATAATCTATGATATCTTAAAAAGTTACAACTTTGAAAAGTTATTTTTGATAGCAATGTCTCTTTTATTATTTTCTTTAATTACTAAGCATGTCTTCTTCATTTTTAATTGGTAATTTTTTTTACTGTTTTTTAGAACGCAAATGTGAAGAGTTATGAATATGAAAATCTTGGATATGGTTTTACTTTTTTAATACTTTTGCTTATTTATTTTTAACAATATACTATTTTCAAACTTATTCATCCTTTACGTGTATAAGYATGAAGTTTCTCTTATATTTATTTCTACGACGATTTAGTTTTCTATTTTAGCTTGCTTCCATTCATCTCTTTATTTATTCTTCTTAAATTTTACATAATTAGTAATGTCATATCGCACGATGACCTAACATATTGAGTATCTCAATTTATAGAAGTTGAAAAATAGTGTTGTTTGTAAATAAACGTGCCTGAATCTTACAAACTACAAAGCGATTGGACCTAAAATACCAATCAAAGGTGAACAATCATTGAGAAATTTTTTTTAAAGCATAGGTATCAATCCTTCCTATAAATGTTTATAAATTATTTTACCATTAGTATTGTTATTGTTTTTATTGTAAAAGTTCATGCATGGTTATAATTGTGAAATTTATTAATTACTAATTTTTGAATTTATCAATTTTATCTACTTTGTAACATTAATAAATAATGCTATTATTATTTTTTATTATTTTTAATGAAGATTACACAAAGTAAGTAATAAATAAAAGTTAGGTCAAAATACTATTTTTGTTTCTTTGAGCTTTAGTTCATTTTGTGGTCCCTCTACTTTAAAATGGTCATCTACTTTCAACTTTAGTTCATTTTAATTCATTTCATTTTCTGTATTTTTAAAAGGTGACCATTTTGGTCCTTTAATTTTTATTATTAATCTGGTTTTTTTTACTATAATTCCAACACGACAATACACTCAATATGTTTATTGAAATGTAACTATGAATTTATATTAAAATGTTTTTGTCATGTGTAGAATGTGTTTGCAGACGAAAATAGTAACTTTTTAAAAGTATAGGAACCAATTACATGACCAAAATGAATCAAAGCTCAAAGTAATGATCAAAATAATATTTTAATTGAAAAATTAGCTAAAAATGAATCTTTTAATTTGTATAGAAATATTTTATTTAAAATAAACAGAAATTATTTTAAGTGAATCTAAATCTAAAACGTTATCAATAATTAATTAAGAAATATTTAATTTAATTTTAAAAATATATTTCTCTTCTCAATTATAAATTTATTATGACGCCTTAAAAATTCGAGATTTGCTCACCTTAAAAAATAAAAAAGCAACTTAAAAAAATACTTTTTCATATTTGAAGAATATTTTAAAGAATCTGATACTTTTCAGTTTTCACAATATTTTGAAATATGTATTATGTTTTAATATTTACAAATATAAAAGGTTCAACTATTCAAAGTAACCATTTCAGTTGGAATGGAATATAATTAAACAGATATTTTGACGTTTGGCAAAACCTCGTACGCAAAAAAAAAAAAATAATAATAACAAATTATAAACACATATCCGATTAAAAAAACCCATAATTTAAATAACAGCTGCTTAAGTTTAATCAAACCTTTAATCCGGACGAGATTACCGAAACAACGCGTGGCCGTTTTACCGGTTCAGCCGGTGGCCCGTGCAGAACGGTGGCCAGCGCCAGCGGCGATTTCCAGTTTCCAAAACAGCGGCCCTGATGACGGAGGCTCCCCATTTTTCAAGAAAATACGCTTTCAACTCAAGAACACATAACTTCTCAATCTCAATTCAATCGGATTAACTTTGATCTCTTGAAATTAGGATTCTTGATTTGATTCCTTCCTTCCTTCTGTATTGGGACCTGTTCGCCACACAATTATCTATACTGCCCACTGGTCCTTTGTTTGCATGTACAGAAACAGAAACCTCTTTCTTTTTCACTTCTTTTGTTTCTTCTTATCGCTTTGATTCATCTTTCTCTTCCCGCAAGTCATTCCTTGGACCCCCAGGTTGGTGATTGTGTTCTTTCGATGATTTTGATTTTGATTTCTCCGCCGAATTTCGTTTCATTTTGATTGTCTGTGTGAATTGTCATATTCCTTGCGTAACTTTGTGGGTTTTTTTGGATTTTGAGGAGTGGTTGGCCTTCGAGATTCGGTTGTCAAATTAGGGTTCTTTGTCGTCTTTTCATGTAAGCGTCGGAATCTGGGAAGTTTGAGACTGCGGAGCGATTCTTCATTTTTCCCCCTTTGTTGTGCTGCGGGAAAGAAGGATTTTCAAAATTTAGAGTTATTCACTTACTTGGTTAATATTCCCCCAATAAACTCTCTGTTTTTCCCGGTACAAATGGTATTTCAGGGTTGAATTTTAAACTGTGAAATTTTGCCCGGTGATGGTGTTTTCCAGGAAGTACTGGACTGTTAAATTGTTTTATACTGCAACTTATGGTTTTCGTGGAGTTCTTTTTTCTATACTATAGCCCTTTTTTGTGGGTAAAAATGATTGCCAGTCATCTTCTTTTCTCTCTTTATTTCAGTTACATAGGGCGTTTGCGCAAGCTCAATCAGATGTAGGAGTGTTCAAGGCTTATCGTACGTTTTACAGGGTTATGGAAACGTATAATATTGATCCTGACGTAAGGAGATGGGGCCTTCATCTTTTGGATGTTTGCACCTTTACAAATGACAGTTCTCGCAGTACTGTTACTGAATACAGTTATGATCCAAGTTATAGTCAAGTGGGATATGTTAATGAAGGTTATTGTGAGCCGTGTAATGTGAATTTGGAGAATGATGAGGCTATAGCACACGCTTTTCAAGAAGAGATATCTAGAATCGATTCTATAGAAGCTTCTGGGGTATCTAATACTGGGGAAGACCATCTGCAAGCATCTGTTCTTGCACAGGATTGGCTTGGTCCTTCGCCTGTGCATAGCCCTTATGGTAGTGAGAAGTCAGTTATTTGATAGTTTCTGTTTCCAGTGTGTCGACACAATTTAGTTGTTCCTAATAAATTTTCAACAATATACGTAGGGCTTGACGGTGATCAGAAATCAACTTGTGTTACTGACATAAAAGTTGAGGAGGTCGATGATCTGAGCAGTAACGGAGTGGACAAAATGGGAAACTCCTCTTCATATCCTAACTCACTAGAAAATTCTTTTTCAGAGGATTGCTCTTTATATTCGTTGGAAATAATGGATGAGTCTACACTTGATGGTGAAGTGGGCAAAAGGTTGAATCAGATTGTTCCTGTTCCTGTAAGTATATACATAGTTTTCATTTCAAATTCATTGGTTGATTGTGTTATCCAATATTATATCGTTTTATCTTTCTTTTCATTATACATTTATCTTGAGTTTGGCTGCTAGATTACATGAAGCGTTTCAGAGTTTCAGAGTTTTTTAACTATCTTAATCCATGTTCAAGTTTCTTGCAGCTTAGGCTTGTTTTATTTTTTTGTTAATGTTGGTGGCAGTAAAGTTGGGGGATAAATTTTAAAATTTGATTTACCAGAAGTACAAAATAGATACTTTATTATTCTATTTTCATAAGGAGACATCAAACTCAAAAGAGTCATTCCTACCCATATATTCCTTGCTCAAATCATTGCCTCCAATTAGACTCTTTAAAAGTTAATTTTACCCCTAAAAAGTAATCAAACTAATAAAAAAAAAAAAAAACCCGTCTTGTTAATTTCAACGAGGAATTGTATGGTCTGCATATTGTTGGTGCAAACTATGGACATTTTCTCGCAAGAACAAAGCCATCGTCAAAATATTAAAATTGGATGCTGTATGAATTATAGTTTCCAAGAACATCATCAATACGAATAAATAATAGGAGTGAGAGGGTTACATTGCCCAGGGCCCTTAGAAGGCTTAATAGTACCTCTAGGGTTTACCATTGGCGTAAGTAGATACTAGATAGAATGAAAAACAAATGCAACTCTTCCACCTCCTCCTTCCAGACCCTAAATGGTTAGAACTTATTGCAATTTTAAACACTAAGAAGCTCCAACTAACATGGTCATTTGCAATTTTGAACAATGATTTTCCTGCCAAAATGAAGAAGACCAGATGTCTGCCTTTCTAAGCTTAAGGCTTATTGGGAGCTATTTCTAGAAAGTATATATTCATCCATAGATTGCATTTAATGAATTCTGGATTTCTTGTATTTAAAATCCGGTCGTTCTGTTCTGTTCTATTGCAGCATGTACCCAAGACCATTGAGAAGATACCCTCAGCTGATGAAGAGATGTCGGATCATCAACGGCTCCTTGATAGGTCGTGTACATATTGCTTTGTCAATTTTATATCTAATGTATTTGAACCATGAATCATATAGTGGATGCTGCTTTAGTCATGTCTAAGTCTCTAAGATGGGCACCACATGTTTTTTTCTTATCAAAATTTACTTAAATGATTTCATACCAAGAAAAGAAGCTCAAGTTTGAACTATTCAGGGAATATATTATAAGAATTAGTGGTTGCTCAGATTAGGTAACTCAACTGCCTACAAAAATTTGATACGTAGATAAATTGTTTTGCTTAAATTACTTCATGGTTGCTGTAGGTATGTTCTCCCTTCTCATCAGTGCATTGTTAGAAGTTGGCAATTGATTCATGTAGTTTCCCTTTTTGCCATTTAAATAAATTTCCCTTCCCCTTTGTTTCACCATTTGAAAGGATGTAGAGGAAGATTTGAGAGTTTCAGATCTGCCATACTTTGGGCAGGCTGTATTTACTATGTACAGTTTCTCAGTGCACATCGTCAATGCTGTAAACTTGTCTAGTGTGTCCGTTGTTCTTCATTTTGTTGAGTTAAATTAAACATTTAGGTTGTAGTATTTAAGTTCTTGAGTTTCTGTTATTAAAATGATGCAAGCATCTGATATTTGAACATTCTGGTTTTTTCTAGATTGCAGTTGTACGAGCTGGTTGAGAATAAGGTTCAAGGAGATGGTAACTGCCAGGTTGTTTATCTATGCAATTATTTCGATCGATGGTCTCAGCTTTAATTTTTATTTTTCATATTAAATTGTTGTTGGTTGGCCTGCTGAATTGATTTATCTGCACTTCAGTTTCGTGCTTTATCAGATCAACTTTACCGATCTCCCGAGCACCATGATTTTGTGAGAGAACAAATTATAGCGCAGGTATGATGACTTTGCTTTGTTTAATGTATGATATAAATGTGGGCTTGACACCAGAGTTGCGCACATACTAATGAGGTGAAACCTTTTTCACTTTGTTGATGGCATCAGCTAAAGGCTCGTCGAGATATATATGGGGGATATGTTCCAATGGCATATGACGACTATCTGAAGAAGATGAGCAAGTAACGCGATCCTTTTCCTTGAAGAAAAAATATTTATCTTTTTCCTTTTTCACTTCATTCAGTCAACTTGGACGCTCATCTCCCATTATTTGAATGAAGCAGGAAAGGAGAATGGGGTGATCATGTTACACTACAAGCTGCTGCAGACTGGGTATTGATATAGCTTCTTCTTATTGCACTGAACATTTGTAATAACTTGGCATATAATTGGTTTTTGCATTTGTTGCAGTTTGGAGTTAAGATATTTGTAATTACATCATTCAAGGATACATGTTCAATTGAAATACTTCCACAAGTTCAAAAGTCCAAACGAAGTAAGATTCTTCCTAGACTGAGTTCTTGTCAAAAATTAATCTGGAACTTGTGTTCTTTTTTTCCTTCCTTTTGAGTACAACAATTTGGGAATATGGAAGATAAATCTCTGATCTCGGGAAGGCTGAGCTATGCTCCTGTTGGCATGTAGAACTTGTATTGATATTTGAAACATGCATGATATTTGTTGCAGTTATTTTCTTGAGCTTTTGGGCTGAGGTGCACTATAATTCAATTTATCCAGAAGGAGGTATTCCCTTTTACTCCCATGGAACTAAGCATCTGCACTTAAATTTATGGTCTTAGTAACACTCTTTTTTCTCACATTACTTAATGATGATATTCAGAAATCCCAACTTGGTGCACGAAGAAGAAGAAGAAATGGTGGAACTTTTGAAATTAGATTTTGGTCATAGGAAAGTTGAGAGGAACCACACTGATGGATGCCTCACTACCTCATTGCTTCTGTAAATATAAAAATATATATAAATAATATGCACATTAATTATTATTATTTTATTATTATTATAATATATATAGCATATTCTTTTATTCTACCTGCTGATCTGATCTGTTATATCATATCTTAGTTTGCTTTTTAATATATGCTCGAGGAGTCTGTTGTTGAAGAGGATTAGATATTCCTTTTCTTCCTGTGGATATCTTGGAATCTTCAAGATAAGATTTCGATGGAGTCACAAGATTCTTTCACTAAATTATGTGATGACAATGCTAATGTCATTCATTTTAATACGGATCCGTTCGGTAATGTTTTCGTTTTTTGTTTGTTTTTTGGTAGCTGTTTCTTCTTCTTTTCTTTTTACTAAAAAATGGAGTAGAAACATGTTTATTCTTAATGGTTTTATATGAATATTAGTTTTTGAAAATTAAATATTCAAAATTTTTACATTTTACTTAGCTTTTTTTAATATTTACTATGTATTTTATTATGTATTTCATACATGGAGAATGATAAAATAATGTTTTTATTTCTATTTTGAAAAAAAATTAGAAATGAGAACAAAAATTTTGATTTTGGTTTTTAAAAATTTCTATACAATTTTAGAAACATTTACTAAAAATAAACGAGAAGGAGTTAAAGTTACTAAATATTTATGTTTTTTTAAACTTGAAAATGAAAACAATAAATTGTGAAGAATCTCCTAAAAAATTATGTGTCGATTTTTATCCAATAACATGTTTGGGGACTCGTTGATTCATCGATCAATATATATAAAAAATTTAATAAAAATTTTCATATTACAAACTTTAAATTATAGAGACTAAATTGTTACTAATTTAGGAGTACAAGGACGATCATTATAAACTAGAGTTCATAGACTAATCGTTAATTTAACAAAAGTAGATGTACTAAATGTATTTTTTAATCTTGTGTTTTTTTAGCTGCACTAATTTTTTTTTTTTTTTTTTTATAGAATATGTGTTACTAAAATAAGGGAAATAAAATAAATATTTTTAATATTATGATTAAAATAAATTAAATCTGAAAATATAGGACGTAACATTTACAAAAGAAAAAAAAAGTGACTACTTTAACTTTCTTTCTACAATCTACATTTGAAAATCGAAAACTCTCACAAAGGGAAAAAGAAAAAAAAAAAAAAAAGAAACTGAAGCTGATTCCGAGTTCTGATTCACATTCACCACACAAATCGCTTATGAAAATTTCAAAATTCAAAGACGGCGTATCATCTGGTTCGCCCTCGCCGAGAGATGTTCCTGAACAAACCCGCCTCCAAATTCCTTCAGAAAAGCCGCCAAAAGCCACTTCTTTCCCTCTTATGCCACTTCGATAATCCTCCTTTTATCTACTCTCAGAAGTCCGGCTATGTCGATGTCTACATGAAATGGAAGAAGGATTCGTATTACGATTCGATTGAGCACATACTCAACTCCATTGAACTCAAATCCATTATTTCTCTCAAGAATTGTATAGCCCAAGACCCAAATGGGTGCGTCCCAATTTCTGCCGTTTCAAAGCGAGGACTCGAAATGGGTGTGCCGATGAAGGTCGCGAGCTTTCTAAGGCTCTACCCATCAATTTTTGAAGAGTTTACAGGTCCCAAGTACAACCATCCTTGGTTCAGGTTGACCCCAAAAGCCGTTGACATTGATGCGGAAGAAAATAGGGTTTACGAGAATTGCAGGGAGGATTTGATGTGTAGGTTAAAGAAGTTCATAACGATGAGTAAGGGGCACGTCTTGCCTTTGAAGATAATTCAAGGTATGCAATGGTATTTAGGGCTTCCTGATGATTTTTTGCAGCAATTTGATGTTAATCTTGGTGGGTTTTTCAAGTTGGTGAAGATGGAAGATGGGTTGGAGGGATTAGCTGTGGAGAGTGATGAAGATGTTGTTGTTATGTCTGTGATGCAGAAAAACGCCATCAAAAGAGGGGTGCCAATGGAGGCACTTGAATTCCCACTCTTCCCATCGAAGGGTTTAAGACTGAGGAGGAAGATTGAGGATTGGTTAAAGGAGTTTCAGAAGCTTCCTTATGTGTCTCCTTATGAAGATTCTTCCCATTTGGATCCAAATAGTGATATAGCAGAGAAACGAGTGGTGGGGCTTCTCCATGAGTTGCTCTGTCTTTTTGTTGAGCATTCAGCAGAGAGGAAGAAGCTTCTATGCCTTAAAAAGTATATGGGTTTGCCTCAGAAGGTTCATAAGGCATTTGAGCGACATCCTCACATGTTTTACCTGTCTCTAAAGAACAAAACTTGTACTGCTATTCTTAAGGAGCCTTACTGCGATAAATCTTCTATTGAGAGGCACCCATTGTTGAGGATCAGGCGGAAGTACGTCAATCTGATGAAGGAATCTGAAGTGATTTTGAAGAATAGGAGGTTTGATAATCGTCTTGTTCATCCGAAAAATTTGGCGTTGGACTTAGATTTGGATTCTGCAGATGAATATGGAAGAGAAATTCCCAAGTGTTAATGCTTGAGTGTTTATGGGGATTCCTTCTCTTTAATGATTCACTTCCTTGACTAGTTTTGATTGAGCTGTAGTGCTGTAGGAGAATCAGAGGCTAGTTAATTTACAATGTTACAGAAGCAGAGCCGACTGTGATCGAGTTATTGTTAAACCGAGTACAACAGCCAAAGATAAAGATGGCCGAGCAGTTTACAAATCATTGGTTGCTTGAAACTTCATTGAGGTTAGTTCACTTTAAAATGCAGTTGCTCTATTTTGTGGAATGGGAGAGGATTTAGCTGTTTTTTAAGTGATAACTATGCTAGAGCTTCCCAGGCCATGGTGTTAGTACAGTGTGATTCAAGGTGATATTATTGATAGAATATAAACTAAATGTATACTAAATTTGATAGAATGATATGTAAAAACCACCTCAAAGACTAGATATCAGAGCGAGTAAACAGTCACAACATCCTTTTCTGGATTCACCCATTGGTTTCTTGGCCTCCATTCCAATGTTTTTTTAGTTGAAAGAAACCATCGATGATACGAAATTACAAAAAAGTGGTCCCAATACAAGGGATTACATAAAACTATTCCAACTGGACATCATGGTAGAAAAGCTATAGTGATGAAAAGAGGGATAACATTTACACCAAGAAATAGCTAGAAAAACAATAGTTAAAAAAAAAAAAGGGTCAAAGGATTGGTCCTTTCCTTTGAATAAGCATTGGTGGATAAAGTTCAATCAGAGAAGCTTCTTTTCCTTTTTAAAAGGATGACCCACAAGAGCAGTCTCCAAAAGGAGCGGTCTCCACTCTCCAATGTTTAGTTATATAAGAGAAATGGTTGTGGTTCTGTTTTTCTGGTATAGTTGGATGATTCAGGTTCAGTGGACTTTTCTTTAGAAATCTGTTCCTAGCACTACACCCAAAACTTTTAGCAAGATTGGACTATGTGTCTCCAAGCTCTCCAACTTGACTTCACTGATTTAATTGTCTTAGGAATGCCTGTAGTGGCTTCAGTTCGTCCTCTGGTCTAATGTCGTGTTGGGTACTTTTTGGAATATTCGTCTTGATAGGAATTGGAGATTTTGTTTTCCTTTTTTGGGAACTAGTAATAGAGCCGAGCCCCTTTGATGTTTTGAGGTTTACTGTGTAGATATAGAGTGTTCCTTGGTCTTAGCCAATGGAAGCAGCTTTGTTGTAATTATGTCCTTGTCCTAATATGGCTCTCCAGTCTCCGTTCCCCTTTTTTAGTCTCTTTGCTCAGTTTCAAATTACTCTTTAGGCGTGATCTTACTTGTTCATTTTTCATTAAAGAAAAATAGTAGAGGAATAGGGAGCACAAAGTAAATATCCATGAAAAATCATAAAGAGCAGTAGAGGCAAAAAAGCAAAAAAAAAAAGAGTAGAAGTAGACTGACTAAAAGCAAAGCATTGAAGAAAAATAGAAGCAGATGGGGAAGAAGGAATCAGTATCAAATGCAATCACTAATTTATGAAAATTATTCAGTAGTCAGTATTTACATCATAATTTATGCAGTGGAAAATTCAAAATAGATGGTTTGGTTTACAACACTCCACTTACAAGCTCTTATAGCTTCCTTCCTTACATTACATATATATGATATATGATATATGATATATATATCTATATTAGCTTTACTTCTTCAGTCGTTTACATTTGGGTTTAGGCTTTACATTAAATATTGAACTTCTCTCTACCTGCAGCGAAGTTCCAAGAAAGTGAGGAACGCAAAATATACAAATTCTTTCTCCAATTTTGTTATTCTCATTTACATGGACTCTTCTTGCCCGCCCCTGTCGTGTTCTGTAACGTGGGCTTTCATCGTTTTCTTGTTTATTTACAAAATAACTATATCCTGTCAGCTGAAAGATGACTCCCCTACATTTCCATTCTCTTATCTGCAACAAGAAGAAAAAGAAAAGGAATTCTTTCTGATGACTTGTTGACAACGGGCAAACTGCTCTAGGACGAGGAGAATGAAGACGACGACTGTCCAATTCTCCTTTCTGCAAATCATGAACCAGTTTATCATGATGAGTTGCTACTACACTAACAAAGCAATCCAAAACTGGCATGAAAATGAAGAAGTAATGCCTCTCACCTCCGGTCGTGATGAGCTTTTCAACACGAGAGACGATATGTTTACCATAAGTATACCTCTTGAGGGAATTCAAGTGAACCCTGATACGGGAGAGAATCAACTCAAGACTCTGGTCATCGCACGACTCCAGAACCTTCTGGACGACATAGTTCCCAAATGGATCCTTCATCATTGCCTGTGACATATGTACTATCTTATCAGACTCTAATCAAATTTATTGAATCCTAACATCTTTCCAACTGCATTTATATATATGATTCTTACTCTTTGATGTTCAAAAGCAGGTGTAATAGACATGCATATAAAGTCAAGTAAGAATCCTAACAGACCTGCAATGGTTCGTTCTCATCAGTGGAACCAAGAATCTCGTTAATTAGTAGTTGACGTTCCTCAGGACTGCCAAATGTTAAGCACTTCTCTACAACATTAGAAGCAAACTTCTGCTGACTCATCTTTACAATCTGCCCTGCCAGCTTATTTATAATAGCAGATCGTTCATGTGGTTTACCAAATTCAAGGACATGCTACAAAAGAAAGGCAATAGAATTGTTAATCTTTGACCATAAAGTCTTCAAATATGATGAACAGAACTATCAGTTAAAGACTTATCACATTATATAAAGTAATTGCAACCAAAAAAATGCACCAACTAATCATATAATGACCATTGATTCCCAAGTTGAATAAGTCACATCTGAACGACAAACAGTCAGGCGAATCACACAAGTTGTGTTACCTGAATAACATAATTTCCGTATTGATCTTGTGACAGCAGGCAAACGGATTGCATGATTTCATCCATGATAATTTGTTGTGTATTCACATCATCACAGTGTTCTAATACCCTCTACAGCATCAAGAGCAGAAAATCAATCATATATTATACTAAATGTTCCCAACAAATAAGAATAATGTACAGGAGAAACAAACTAGTAACCTGAATAACACGGCAGCCATAAGGATGGGTGGATAGTGCCAGGACTTGCCCATAAAATGCTGATATAATAAACTGAATTCTATCTTGAGGGACGCACTCGATACATTTCTGAATAACATGGTTTCCGTTCTGATCACGGACACATTTCATTACCGAACCATCAAGCTCGGCAACCATTTGAGTCTGTTGATCCAAATCAACTACCTCCAAGGCCTGCATTTGGATCGTTTCTTGATAAATTATCACCGTTTCATTTGGTTCACCCAACAAAAATTCTAAAGGTTAAACTAGAAGAGGAAAAATACAAGCCACTATTTGTAATCAGATGAACTTCATGTGCATCTAATTTTTCTAATAGAACGGAAGTATTCATAACTGAAGGATGAAAATCAAATGAAAGTTCCACCCAACAGGCCAATGCTAATGCTAATTACAGATTGAATGAACATTCATAAGCAGGAGACAGTCAAGAAAGAACCTTTTGAATCACTCTGCATCCATACATTTGAAGACTGAGGGGCAAAACATGTTCTGAAAGTTGGTCAGCTAACTCCTTCCGTTGAATTTCAGTACCATGTTCGAAAAACTGCATCAATGAATAATAAATAAACTCAAGATTTTAATATAACGAGCCATTGAAGGATACATCCCATTACAAAAACGTTTACTTTCTGAATGACATAATTTCCAAAGACATCAGTCATCAAGGTACGAGCATGTGGAATTATCTCAGGAAATATCTTTGTTTTCTCTTCCACATTGGCTGTTTCCAGCTTTTGCTGAATAAAACGACTTCCATACTGATCCATACTACATAATACAGGAAGACCAAGAGTTAGGAAAGAAGATAAAATAATATAATTTAATAATGCCCTGAGAATAACACACGTAAAATAGACACCAAAAGACCACATGCACCTGAATTCAATGACATGATCAACAATGTCTGAAAGCTCAAAAGATCTAGTCTTGTTGCTTTTGAACTCATCCAATAAAGTAGACGGAAAACTTCTATCTGCATTATTGCCAATATCCGGCTGCCAAGACCCATGGGCCCCTATTGAATTTCTCATCGTCGAGTTAAAGCGTAAGAGTCGTTCATTATGCAGCATTGCACCTCCATGTCCAACGGAAGAAAGACCAGAATCCAACACTTGGTCTGCCAGATATGGGATGCCAGTACCATATGGAGGATTTGCATACAATCTGTGATTATAAGCACTTGATTTACCTGAAAGTGACAACTCGTAGTGCTGCTTTTGTTGAGCAAGCAAGGCTTCAAGATAGGCATTTCTAAGGCCATGCAAGTCTCCTCGAGAAATATCAAAGTAGTTATGAGGCTGCAAACAAGATCCAGCATGGATTGCACGATCAGAACTTCCAGATGACAGCTTAATATGATCAGAAGCTGCATAGCCATTAACAGCAGAACTGTGATTCATATTCATTGCAAGATCACCAGAAGTATATCCAGCCAAATCTACACTCTGAACATTTGCATTTAGAAGGTGTCTGGTTGGCCCTTCCTTACTTCCGAAGCCTGATGAATTTGCTTTGGAGTATAGACTGGTAGAAGAAGACGTTCGTTTGGGAAAGTTAACATGATCGTGGGAACTCATTGTAGGCGCTCTAGGGTTCATTACAATCCCACTTGTCCTTGCTAGGTCAATATAATCACTTGGTTTTGAGAGCTTTTTGTCACTAAACTCAGGTCGAGCACGTGTGTGAATACCATTGGACATGTTGATCAGGAAATTAGACTGTTCACCAAGATCCAGTTGAAGCTGAGATTGGACCCCATTGACTCCATCTTCAGGTCTAATTGCTGACAGGTGCAAGCCAGATATGTCAGGCAGTTCAGTAAACCCAGCAGAATGACCATTTTGGACCTTGGACAAAGTTATGTTCTTTTTCTCCACAGGAAAAACTCTACTGCCAACAGGAGGTAGACCAGAACTTGAAGACCTTCCAACTAGCTGTGGTTCAGGAGTCGTGCTTCTTGAGAGAGGTGAACAATTAGGATTCAGAAAGGAATGGGACATTGCTTTGTTATGACTCTGAACTCCAACAAAGCCAGGGGGGCCTGAGTTATGCAAGTCCTCAATAGGACCCACTCCATTACACAATCCTGGTGGCTTTATATCAGCAATTCCCATAGTGTCAACATCCCCAAAAGAATTATGACTTGCAGGGCGTGACAATTGGCCAGACAAGGAAGCAGATTCACCAAGTCCCTCCTGCAGGATATAATATATTAATATTTAATGCATTAGATAAAAAAATAATTTTATTTACCTAACCAACGATGAGAAAACTACTTTATTATAAGACCAAAAGGCATCGTTATATTTGTATGTGTAAGATGATTTTGAAAACATGTATCCCTACCTATAAAACTAGTTTTAACATAAACTGAAAAAAGGGGAAACTAAAAGCATCATGAGCTATGAATCATCAAAATAAATAGAATGTCAAAGCTACAAAGAAATAATGCGGGGCACCATATTTAACAAAAATGAGAATACAGTTTAATTTGGAGGGATCACTAGCCTAACAAAAGTGACTTCGAGATGATGAAGAAAAGTACTATAATAAAAAATAAAATAAAATTGGATCAGTCCATCAGAATTTAGGAGAGAAATTATTATTAAAGAATAAATGCAAACTTAGAGGAAGGAAGTTAAATAATAAATGCCATGTTGGATCCCTACAGAAAGAAGAAAAAGTCTTGTCTGCTAGATGACACTTACTAAAGCAAATGATGGTCATAATTCTGAACCATTAAAAGCTACTCTGTAACTCTGTTGCCGATTTGCTGTATAGGGTTCTCCGGGAAAATATACCTACCCTATGTTTTGTATTATCAAGCAACACAGGAGCTAAGATTATGCAGAAGAAAATACGATCCCATCACATCAAACAAACAGAAAGATAAAATCAGAGCTTCTATTTGACTAGAGATCATAAGCAAGGCAAAAAAATAGTTTACAACTACAATCCAAAAAGTACAGATAATCATAAGAAAAGAATATATACTACCTTTCAACAGCACACCTAAGATACAACTCACACGCATGAGCATCACTTGACTGCATAGTTTGAAGATTTCAAAGGCCAAAAATAAACATTGCGGTCCAGAAGCAATGTCAACAAAAGTACAAAGAAGCAAAAAGTTGCAATGCATTTTGTCCTCACTCATCAGTCACCATGGAAGTATCCACAAACCGCTGCTAACTATATTTCATATACCACTCACCTAAGAGATGAAATATCACCTTAAAATCATAAAATTATCTTCTTATTCAAAGGAAATACCTTAAGAAGGTTAAATTTTCCTTACGGTCCTTATTTCATTGAGGGATTTATATTCTTCTGACTGAATTCAGAAGAGAATCGATTATTTCTTTATCTCGCCATGGTCGTGACATGCTACAGCTGGAATGCTTATATTATAGTTCACTTATTATGAGCAAAGAAGGGATTCAAACACGGATGGGATTCACAGATAGAATCTTAGACTTTCACATAAGAGGTTTCTCTCTTCAATTATCACCTTAAAACAAGGAAGCTTAATCAGCCAATTACAAAGATAGGAAAAGTTAAGGCTCATCTTCCTATAAATAGCACAGCAGGCCAGAAATCTTTTGAAGTCGAAAATCAGTATCTACATGTCACATGTAATGTATGTATGCTCCAACCTTTTAAGTCGAAAAGTAGTAAACTCATATCAGTTGCCGTGTTTTAAGCAATCACTGATCCATACAACATAACTATTAAGACCGAACTTTCTATTACATTCAGTAACACATACAAATATTATGTATTTAAGATAACTGCAAACAAGCGCATTTAAAATTTTGCAGAAAAAATATCACCACAGGGCAAGCTAGATGGATAGAGTGTAAAATAGTTAGATCAGTTACCTGAACAATATTGGCAAAACTCTTCCTTCTCGCACCAAGCCCATTGCTATATGATCCAACTAAACCATCCCTCCCCCTGTCGTGCCACTCAGATAGAGCCTTCCGGGAGAGATTCTTTCCATTAGCATCCCCAAACTCTGTGACATTACTATTAATTTTCTCTGCTCGCTGTACAGAAGGTCCTGGCTGCATAGAGAACAATGATGGACTAGTATTACCATCTCCTAGCTTCTTCCAGTTCCAATCCCCATGGCGCCCCGATGAAGACCCGCTGCCCTGAAACCGCTGTGCAACACGCCAGTCCTCTTTTGATACTAATGGCGGAGGGAGTCTTGGATTGATATAATCATTCGAATAATAGTAAGAAAGATAATCTGGGTGTGAGCGAATCTCATCTTCTGATAAAACCCTATCATTATTACTACCCTTGGCATTGAACTCGTTAAAATAAGAGCTGGTAAATAGACTGCCCACAGCACTTAACGATCCCTCAACTGTTGGAGGAGCACTGCCACTCCGGTAAATATTCAGATCTCCATCTCTCCCTGTTGCTGAATGATTGGAATTCTCTCTCAGAAGTAGTTCAAGCTCAGTCCGCAAATTATCTTCAAAATTTCCAATGGGCACTTGGTGACCTTCATTCGGTATTGACAGCATGTCCGTGTTACTCCCAGAAGCCATCTTCAGGGATTTTCAGCTCTAAAATCCCAACATTCCCCACACGCAAACACAAGAAAAAAACATAACATAATATCAAAACGAAGCGAATTTTAAATTCGTAACCCAGACCCACTATTTTCATACTCAATAAGTATTAAAAGAGCAAATCAATCAAAAGAATACAGACAGAACCACTCGCATATAAAATTTATATATATAAACCCACAGATTCGCCAAGGCCAACCTCCGAAGAAACGTAAGTAACAGGAATTCTGAAAATTCCCTCAAGCTCCCAAACAATTATGAGGAAGAAAAGAAAACGCAGAATTCCCCCAATAAACTGGAAGACAGAATCCCAAATCCCAAATCCCAACTCCCAAAATTGTAGATAGAAAGGAGAAGAAGAGAGAAATTTCAGACCTGGAATAAGATCCTCCAGGAGGATACGAATACGATCAAGACCCAACGAATTGTTCCATAGCCGAGAAATTAAAAATTAGGAGAGAAAGAGAGAAATGCAGCAAAGTAGTGAATTGAATAGAGGATAGAAGAGGAAGAAATCAGATTTTACCGTGGCATTACGGAATCTGGAACCGAAAGAAGGAATGGGAAATTAATTTGGCAATTATTCAGCAATTTTCCGGTTTGAAATCGAAAAATTAGGAAGTAATCAGAACAATTCGCAAGGGGGGAAATTCGCGTGGGCCTATGATCCTTCGGAATGGCTGTTCTGTTATTATTCCTTCTTCATTTCAACAATGTTTTTGACGAAGACAGAAAACGCAGTCACAGAGACGCAACCACCGCCGTCCGATCATCAATCCACGGTCATGGCGGAGCCTACGTGCATTGCATGAACATCATTTTGCCCTCTCTTTCACAGAACTGCTGTCTAAAACAATTGTATTTACATTTAACAAATATTAATTACTTTAATTTTAAGCTAGTTTATGCTTTACGTTGAAATTCTTGTATTAAAAAGAAAAAGTTGAATTATTTTCAAAGTTGTTTAGCAGTTTTTAAATTTTAGAAACATGATTACGACGTCAAAAGTTTAGAGGTCAAACTTGTAATTTGATAGAAAATATTGGTATTTTTTTTATCGAAGAAAAAAGAATTGAAAATATAAAGATAAAAATACAATAAATATAATGTTTGAATTATTGAATGAAGTTTAAAGCTTAAAGCTTAAAGCTCATGTAGGTAAAAGAATAAATGGTTAAACCTAATGCACTAAATTTTAATAAAGGGTGTCTTAATGAATTAAGTTTAGGGTGTATTTGTAATAAATTTTCTAACAAATATGGAATTTTTAGAAATAGAGTGCGACGAGAAAAACACAATGGTTATTTACGAAATTTTATGTGCCTAAAAATTAATTATGTCTTATTTGAAAAAACAAATGATCTAGAAATATAGGGTGGAGAAAGATAAAATGAATACGTATACATTAGAGAGATAGAATGAGATAAAAATGCAAGAGAGATAAATGATTGACTAGAGGTAAATATATTATTAGAATAAGAAATGAATATATATATCAGTCAACTTTATTATTTACTTTTTTAAAGTTGGAGATTCGAATCTCTTCTGTTTTTTTCTATACTAAAATATAAATGTTAGGATAGCAATATCAATAAATTAATGTGTACATGCAAGTTATTTACACGACGAATTTGTTAGATGTCTTGAGACGAAAGTTGATGATTTATTCTGTTTCCAAAAGATTTGTGATTCATGTTATATTTCTTTTTGTGATAATCTACAATTATAGAAGCTAACGAACTTGTTTTGATAATGGAGGTGTCTCCACCTTTGTTCCAGTGAACGTAACTGGGTGAGGAAGAGAAACAGCGGAGGCGACGTTCGTCAAAGAATGAGGGACAAAAGGAAGAAAAGAAGGAGATGAAAAAATGAGGGAGAAAGGAAGAAGATGTTCGTCCAAAGATTCCATATCACTCTACAATCACCCAACAAATAATATACCTAACAAATAACTATACTGGCAAGTTATTTAAAATTATATTGTAACTAAGGTGGCTTTTGAAACTTCAGTGATTAAATAGACATCTATTCTAAATCTCGGTAATTGAGAGTGTATTTTGCCATTTTATTATTATTATTATGCAAAATAACTAGAGAGGATTATGTTTGAGAAACCATGAACCAATATAAAAACAATTTATCACTTCTTAAAATTTTATGAGAGAAGTTTAGAAACAAAAAAGCTTGTTTTAAAAAAATAAAAAAAAAATAATAATAAATATATATATATATATATATATATATATATATATAATTTAAGTTCGTTTTATAATATTTTGTTCTTTATTTTCTGTTTTTTTAAAAAAATACATTTTCAAAATTTAGGTCAAATTTGTCACCGAAATTTATCCACCTAAACACTTTTTTGAAATTATGGATATTTAGAACACCAAAGTCTGAATAGACCAATCCACAATTTCCTCTCTAGCATCGGGTTGGGCCCGACCAGGGAAATACATGCTTATGCCCAAATCCAACGGATCTGAACGGTTTGGATTGAATTATTTTAAAAATAATTGCAAAATTTTCTCATTTTTATTTGATATTGACCCGATAATTTAAATTTTGTAATATATATTGTTCCAAAACATTAGTTTATATCTTAACTAGTTAAGTTAAATTCAAGTTGGCATTATATTATTTTATTATGGTCGGAGATTTGAATCTCCTTTCCTTGTCAAATAACTTATCAAACCGAGTATAGTTCAGTAGTAATTGACACATATCTCAAACACATATCTCAAACAAAGAGGTTGTGAGTTTGATCCCCCACATGTTGTGCTAAGATGATGATGATGATAATAATAATAATAATAAAAAATAACTTATTTACATTGATATACATTATATATATGTATTAGATTTTTCAACAATAAATCAAGGAAGACACTTTCTTTTTTTCTTTTTTTTTTATAATTGATATGCATTAATTTTATCAAGTAAATGACCTAGATTCATGTTAATCATGTGTCAAGTGATCTACCTGAATCATGTAAATCATACTTTATTAACATTATCCATCATTCACTAACCTTTAACCTAAAAATGATAAACAATAATCATTGACACGTTGGACACAATCTTGAAAGTTTAAGGACTACACATGTAATTTGACTTATACTTTATAACTCTGTAGGTCGAACCCAATTGAAAGATGTAGCGGGCTCCTTATCCGTGATATTAAAATTTTATCAAAAAATTATTGAATTGGTCTTTGTGTTGTGATATTAGAAGAAAGGTAACTGTAAGGTTGGTTTTTGCAGTTGTTGGACTGAACATTAACCTTGGAATTTGGAAACAAAAACAGAGTTGCTTCTAATCTTATTAATATATCTTGTTTTCAAAACAAAAACAGAGGATCAACCTCCTCTCTTTGTATTCCTAAACTTACAAAGCCCATTCAAACTAATCGATTCTGTTATGAATTTGCCTAAAACCATACCGAGACCAAAAACCCTAATCAACATCTTCATCAAACCCATTCAAAAAAACAAAAGATTGAGATGGAAAGGAAAAAGTGGGGGTGGTGGGGGGTAGAATGGCAGTTTCTGGGAAATATGATATTGGAATGGTAGGGCAAGGAAACATGGTTCTCGACCGATGATGAGTGGGACATATGGGTGTAGACAGGCTGGGTCACATCAGTTAGAGGGATTTTTTGGATCAATCCAAAATTTTCGATTATGCTATCCGAGAGACCTGAATGAAGTTTACAAGACAACACAACCCAGTCCAACCCGAAATTTCGAGGGATTAAAGGTAGGGAGTTTTTTATCTACAGTTAGGGAGGGAGATGATCGGAGGCAGACGAGAGACGGCAGGGGAGGGGAGGGAGACGAGAGATGGAGAAGGAACCGAGAGAGGGTAATGTTAATTACTTTTTCAACAACTTGCTTTCCCAACTCCCCCACGACACAGTTTGTACAATGTCTCCCAAATTTATGAACTTCAAACCAAAAAGAAGTAGAAGATGACCTCTTGATGTTTATTCAGTTCTGTTTTTCTATTGACCATTCAAGTAGGTCACAGAGAAAGAGAGAGATGGGCAAAAAAGAAACAAGCTTTTAAGGTCTACTTATGGCCTTAAAACTGAAACTGTTCTTGAAAAAAGAAAATGGGACCCCTTTCAATAAAACTAGAAAATGAAAAATACTGATATTGCAATAAGAAAGAGAGAAGCTTTTATGAGTTGCACAGGAGACAGGACCACCATTTGTAACTTTTTTCAATGTACATGGGTCCACCTAATTCATTCCCCAAGTGCCTTTCACTATTCAAGGCACCACCATGTATCACTATCCATCCAATAACACCTTTCAACCATAACAAAGTTCAGAGATCCAGAAGCCTCAAAAAGACACACTCTTCAATAGAATCCTTGATCAATTAAATTAACGTAACAACAAAAAACAGGGGATTCTGCATATCAGATATAATGAAAAGGAATGGTATATAAAACGCTGGTACGTTACAAACAAGACTTCTCAGAATGTGACAAGAATTGGACGTACGTGTTAGATTATCCACCCCATGACAACAAAGAAACGATCTCTTTCCAAGGAAAAAGACTCGGTAAGAGGTCTAGGCAGGTCTTGTTCTTTATGTTGATGAATACAAGCAATAAGGAATTTCGATGAGATGCTGTCAAATTAATTTTTATACCACTAAGTGGAACGGGGGTACCAGTTGAAAGTTACTCGCCTGTTAGCTCACATTCGATCATTTTCTGAACATCGTTGGCGACTAAATATGCTTTGTAGAGACCAATCACCTCATCTTGCTTCTTACCATCCTTCCATAGCTGTAACAAATGTCATCAAGATCTTCAGAACATTAGTGATTAGTAGTAGAGAGGAAGATTTCCAATTGTAAGAGGTAATCGTGAAGGAACTCACCTGTATAGCTGGCATCTTCTGGTAGATTGAAACGACAAAAGGTTGAGATACATGAGAAAATGTACAAAAATAACACTATGAGGACTTGTAGCAGTTAACCCAGGATGGAAAGATTTTAAGTTTGCACACATTAAAATGAGAGAGAAAACAGATTATGCAGCTTATTCAATCAACTCATCCATAAAACTAATACAAGCTCAACATGCCCTCTGTCCAGGATGTTCAAAATGCATATTGGAAATGTTCCTAATGGTAATGAAACCGAAGTCCAACTTCTACTGTCAACAGAAATCTGGAGTCCCCATGACAACAGAAAATTTAATTGCCAAAATCTAAAGGTGGACTTAGCCAAGCCTGAAACTACCAGGTTGTTATAATTCCCAGACCCCAACATTTCAGAGAAGTACAATACAAAGGGATAGTTCATAGTTACAATATCCAAAGAAAATCATTTCCTTACAGAAGAACAATTTTCCTATGAAGATCATTATAAGTATCAAAAGCTTGGAAAGGGACTTACAGCTAACCCGGCACGAACAACTAGCTTGTGTGGCACCGTATTGACATCAATGCAGTAGAATTGCAATCTACAATTTATCAAGCACGTACACAACTTCAGTAAGTACTGGCACACTGGTCTTTTTAGAATTATCCACCAGCAGTTGGAGAATGATAATATGGTACAAATTTTAACCATTTACTTGGTCAGAAGGAATGGGCTAAAGAGCTAACCTGGGGTAATAATCTGCAGCCAATCTTTCCAATTGGGGTTTTAAATAAATATAATTTCTGCACCAGTCAGCCATCCTACAGATCCACACAGACTCATTTTTCAACAAAAGAAGATAAAGAGAATTGTACTTTAAAATACTGGTAAGGAAAACTGGAGAAAATAAAGCATCATTCACTTCAAAATTATCACAATCAATGTGCAACGGAAGTTATTCTGTTTCAATGAAACCCCAGGGAAAATCTAGCCAAGTAAACTTCTGATCAAATAAGATCCAGCCAAAAACAAATACATTCACATCCTCTAAATCTTCCAAAAAGAAATACCAATTTAAACGCTGGGGAAGAAATTTCCACGATCAACACAAAAAAAATTCCCAGAAAACGCGTACATACCATACAAGAATCACGAGCTCGTCGCGTTCCGCTGCATCTAAAATTGCCTGGTCAAATTCATGTTCGCTAGAAATGGACTTGAGCTCGATGGACACAGGGGATTCATCTCGAAACTGCAAGGGACTCTCCTGGGTCCAAGCCCCGAGGAGCGAAGTCTTCTCCCCAGTGGCAGAAACTTTCTGGGAAAGCGGAGGAAACCTTGTGGGCAAAGGAAGCCTGTTGAAACCGGAGCCGGCGAGCCTCCCGGCCGGAAGATGGGGAGGCGTGGAAAGATCAAAGGGGGCGTGGAATTTGGCAAAAGATTTCGCGGTTCCGAGGTGAAGGGGCAAAGCTTTCACCATTTCGGAAGGGAGAAGAATCGGGAAACAGCGAGAGAGAAGAGATGAAGAAGAGATCAGAGGCGCGTGTGGTGGCGGCGGTAGGTTTGATCGGGCCGGCGGCAGACTAAGGAGGGTTCCGGTTGGGTTCCACCGGCGTAGGGTCAGAGCTTCAACTTCAACGCTCGATTTTCAAAAGTGCAAACCTTTTAACGAAACGCCATTTCGTTGTTAATGAAAAAACAAAAGCAAACAGAATTCAATAAACAATAAAATGATAAATAAAAATGAATAAATAAATTGAAAAGTAAGTTGTGGCTGCCTCATGCAGCCATTAATGACCTCTATCGTTTTTTTTCTTTTAGACTTGTAATTTCATTTAATTATTATTATTTTCTTAGTACAACACGTAGATAGGAATTCGAAGTCATGATCTTTTGACGAGAGATAGGTACCTTTTGACGAGAGATAGGTACCTTAACCACTTGAACTGTGTTCGATTTGATCATTTAATTATTTTATTAAACTCTAGATTTAGACAAATGTTATAAATTTTGTTATTAATTTAGTAATTGACATATGAGGTCATAAGTTCGAATTTCCACCCTATACTAAAAAAATGTTTGTAATTTTTTCTTCTATTAAATTTCTATTAATTCATCCACTAATTTTGGAAAGGTAAAAATCTTTGAAAATTCATGAATTTTAATAAAATCAAAATTTCCACCGGATTAAATCGAATAGATCAACGAAATAAAACTCATGAAATTTTCACGTAAAATAAAAATAATTTTAAATTTTAACCTCGTTTTTTTCTCTAAAATCTTATCAATTCATTCTAACTTATGTGAGAATATTTCTTTTTAACAATTGTTGGAACATACATTTTATCAGAATGTAAAAATTACTATACTTTCTTCAAGTTAAGTTTAGGTTAAAATACATATTTGGTCCTGAACTTTCATCAAAGTAACAATTTAGTCCTTGAAATTTCAAAAGTAACGATTTAGTAACTCTACTTTAAAACTAGTTACAATTTAGTCCCTACCGTTAAAAATTAGGTTAGTTTTAACAGAAGTGTGATTTGCCTTGCAAATCCATGTGTACAAATATATTGGACAGATGTACGAGTTGGTTCAACATTGGGTTGTTTTAAACCTAAACCGGTTTAGAATTATACCTCCCCCACCCAGACCCTCTCAAGGCACCAACGAAGCTGCCGTCTGGGTCGTGCAAGCACACTCCACCACCGACGCTGTGGTCTTCGGCACCGCCTCCATCTCCGGCGGCGCCACCCCATGCACCGACGACCAGTGCAACTTTCGTTTCCCCATCGCCGTCGAAGAGCCCCTGCTTCGTCGGTCAATATTATTAAAAAAGAGAAAAATAGGTATCAAAACCAAATGAAGCTCCTCCCAGTATCTAATCTAATGTCCCACCAAATAGAAAAGATGAGAAATAAGAAATCAAAGAAAACGAAATGCTACCGAATTGGGTAGTAAAAATGGAAGAAAAGAAGAAGAAGCAGGCCAGTCAGGGAAAAAGAAGAATGATCCAACTTTCCATTAAAGAAAATCTCGAATTAGCCTAAAAAAGGGGAAAAAACCCCAGATGGGCGTGTGATGTTGAATTAATATAATAGTTCAGCGGAAGAAAAATGAAATTGGGGGATCGATTGAGGGAAGAAATTATAGGGAATGAGTTGCTTTGGAAGAAATTATAATCCTAGGATGGAAAATTGGGAATCCATAAGGACGATAAAACTGGGTTTTGATTGAATTTTGGAAGAGGGAGAGGTACCTCATCCGACAACGGCGGGAAACCAGAGCTGTAGTTGTCGTTGGTAAATGGGTGTGGCAGAGATGGAGGCGGTGGAGTGGGCTTGGATGACTCAAATGATAGCTATAGTGGGAGACTTGAGAGGGTCCCAGGTGGCGGAGGTCTCCTTTTTAATTCTAAACCGGTTTAAGTTTGAACCAACCCGATATTGAACCAATTCGTACAGCTGTCTATTATATTTGAACACATGGATTTGCCACGTCACATTTATGTTAAGACTAATTAACTTTTAACGGTAAGGACTAAATCGTAACTAGTTTTAAAGTATAGAGACTAAATCGTTACTTTTAAAAGTTCAAGGACTAAATCGTTACTTTGATGAAAGTTCAGAGACCAAATATGTATTTTAACCTTGAGTTTATGGATTTTTTTCCTCATTTTCTGAATTATTTGGAAAAGTTGTCGGAATTAAATATATTATATATATTCAGTGCAGGTGACGGATCCATCGCTTATGGAAAAAATAATATAAAAAATCTTTCAAGTCAACTTAACTACGAAAACCCATTCTTTTTTTTCCATTAAAAAATCAAAATTTCATGTCATTAAAATATTTTATTTCATGGAATAAAATATATTTTTAGTTCGTAGTATTGGAATAGGTTTTTATTTTATCTCTAAATTTTAAAAAATTACAATTTGGTTCTTTAATTAATGAAATGGTGACGTGATATTGTGAGATGTATATTTATTAATTTTATATTATTTTAAGTGTAATATATACATATATATATATATATATATATTTTTTTTTTTTATCTTTTTCTCTCTCTTCCCCCTCCTCCATGCCATTGTCTTTTCAAGCTTATTGAATCTCGTCTACCTTATGAATGGCAATGTCCATTTCACCAGCCACTCTTCTTCACACCTCAGCATAAAATTAATATGATACCTAAAATAATATAAAAGAATAAATATATACCTCACAATGACACCTCAGCATTTCATTCATTAGTGTCACTAATTTGACTCTGACAACTATTTAGAACTATTTTCGAAACAATGACCAAACTGTTGGTTTTTAAAACTCAGTGACCAAATAGATATTTATATTCAAACTCAATTATCAAAATGTATTTTACTACATTTTATTTTATTTTACTTTAGTTAAATAACACGTTAGGAGTTTGGACACCTCGCTTTTTAATTGAAAATATATACTTTAACCAATTAAATTATACTCAAGCTAATAGATTTTTAATATATGCTTTAGTATTGTGCTTCATATTGTTCATGTAATTTAAAAAGTTATAAATATATTTCTATCTTTCAATTTTAAATTTATGTTAACTATGTAGAGCAGTAATTTATATAGGTTGGTATTGTTTAATTGATAATATTTAAAAGTACGTGTTTTGACTAAGAGATTATGAGTTTGAAATCTTCCACCTTTATATTGTACCGGAAGAAGGAAAAAAAAAGTGGTAGCTGATTCTTATAAAAGAAGTTTGTTAGTATAAAAACTGTGTAAGTTTTAATATTGGATGGCGTGGAATTTGTGGTTCATTTTTTAAATAGAGATTTTAGTAATATATGTTAAGACTATTTAAATATTATTAGAAATTTCAATCTGCATAAATTTTTTTTTAGAAATGAGGTAAAAGTGAAAATGTATAGAGCTACTCTAAAAAATACACGGATTAAAATGAACCAAAATTGAAATTACAAAATCTAAAATTAAAAAACGTATTTGGTCCTAACGATTTAGTCTCTTGGTCCTTGAACTTTGAAATTGGTCATGATCTAGTCTATATCAAAAATTAAGTTAAGATTTAACAGAAGGCTAACGTAGTTGCCAACAAGGATCCATGTGTACAAATTAAAGTACCATATGACGAGTCAGTTCAATATCGATTCAATTCGATTCAAATTTAAAATGATTTAAGACACGACCCTTATCTCTCACTCAGGATTCATCTCTCATCCTTCTATGTAGAATTTCCCAACTCAAATTGATATACTCAAAATTAATTTGAATTAATGTTGTTATTAAAAAATCACTACATTCACTCAACAATGTTTTTTTTCCTTCAATATCAGAACAGTGGAATTTAGAAGTGAAGACTTTTGGAAGAGAATATCTCAATTTTGAATTTGAAAATTCTATGCAGAAGTATAAGAGATGAATCGTTGGTGAGAGAGATGGAGTCGTGAGGAGGAAAAGTTTCATTTTCCTTTTTTTTTTAGCCCTAAATCATTTTAAAATTGAGATTGAATTAATTGAGGTAAGTTGTTGAACCAACCCGTTAGATGATACTTTAATTTATACGCATTGATCTTGGTAACCGTATCAGTCTTCATCATTATTCTAACGAAAATTGACTATACATGTATTTTTTAACGAGTCTAAAATAGTATCGAGTCACTTGAAGAAGAAAATTCAGCTATGAATTGATCATTTTCATCCGACCACCCGTTTCTTTATTAATTTTTTTGAAAAATTTGTAATCTTAATTTTTCAAATCTTGAGCACTTCAAAATTTTAGATTCAATTCCAATGCAAGCTGATTAACATGAGTTTCGTTCACGAGGTTGAATCCTTAATTCTCATATGAGGTAAAATTACCTTATCAAATTTTCGTAGATTGAARTTAAGAAAGCAATTTGAGTGGAGTCGTTCGAGTAAAACCACTCAACCAGACCAACTTCGAACTGACCCAAATTCATTTGAGTCAATCTATTTGAACCAATTCAAGAAGACTTCATCTATAAATAAGAAGAGAGACCTTGAATACGAAATATACTCTTACATTCTTCAACAATATCTTTTACTAACTTAAGCATGTGGGGGTGTGTTAGACTTAAAACTGTACCAGTTGTTACTTTTATTTAATCATAATTCTCGTAGCCTAGCCACCTTTAAAAAAAGCGTCAAATTTTATTTGAAAAGGGTTATTTTTACTGATTATTATATTTTTTACAGGTAATTTTTTTTTTCTTTTTTTTTTCTTTTTGCTTTTTTTCATTTGCAAAAGGACATAACGTATTCTACTGAAACAAGTCTTTACAAATAGTCAGGGGATTAAATGTTGTCAAAGTTCATAATAAAATATAAATTGCAAATTTAATAATAGAAATAATATATTAAAAAGAGAAGGGCAAGTTTGAGAGAATAGGCATTCTCGCTCTCGATCCATCTCTCTCATTTCCTCTCTCGGTCTCGATCTCTCTCTCTCTCCCTCTCTCTATCGCTCTCGATCTCTCTCGCCCTCAATCTCTCTCTCTCAATCTCATATTATGTTTGGTCTCCCTCTCCACGTTTTTTTTAATTATAATTTAAATTGATACTTTGATTAAAATTTAAATTAAGAAGGAAAGAGGGGAAAGCAAAATTGGAGGGTTATATTTGAAATTCAATCATAATTAAGACAAAACTACATAGGATTGAGGAGAGATTTTCGGAAACAAATTTGAATTAAATTTCAAATTTGAATACTTACCGTTCCTTACGAAACTTAAAAAATTGAAATTTTGTTTCGATTCCAATTTTCMAATTTTTAATTAAGAAAAATATTTAATGATTATTTGTTAATTAAATTGATTTTGAATTTGACCGAACTATTTCAAAATTTATTTAGATCCAATCAATTTAATCTTATTTATCATTTCATTTAAATTAACTAAATTTTATTATTACTACTGTTTTTTTTTATATATAAACAACATTTTATTTCAAAACATTTGAAATTATTCACCTGTATAATGATATTGAATTGATAAACATTATATTCAAAATTAATTTTTAAATACTATAAAAAAAACAATCACATTCAAAATTATAATTTTAGATACTATCAAATAAAAAATTTTAAATAATGGCATATGGATTTGTTCTCGCTCAACTCTCTCTCGCGAAGTAATTAGAAAAATGAAATTGATGGAAAAGGAAAGAAATTGATGGAAAGAGATGATACGAAAGTTTTAAAAGGACGATTAGAAAACTTAAAAGATCCTACAGAATRCCTATTTCTTCCAATTTTCCAAAGAGAAGACGAACACGTAAATATCTATAATCATTCTATTGAAACCCTTTTTCAACCAAACGGGTCCTCAGGAATCATAATATTCATCAAAGAAAAAGAAATTGCAAAACAAACCCAAGAAAAATAAAGTAAAAATTGGAACTGAAAAAATAACAAAAAAATAAAAATAAATGCAAGCAGAATTTCTCAGCTCATCAAGTTCTGAATGATTTTTGTTAAGGAAGAATATGTTCCAAAGCCTGCCGCTATGAGCCCTACTGTGATTATTATGCCACACGTTACTCCCTGCACAAAAATGGACAAAAAACTTGTATGAATTTACAGTATCTATAATTTGATCTGACTTTATCAACAAATAAGCTAATAATTTTTATTTGGTTGATATATTGTGTATTGTGGTTAAAGACAAAACAATAAGAAAAATGAGTGAATTTCCGAGTAGATAAAACAATCGTCTAGATGCTTTGTGAGATCTAACCAAACTATACAACCAAATTGAAACTATGCCCAAGCTAGAGTATCCAATTGAAACTTGTAAAATTATATGGAACTAAGTCCAGGACCAAATCTTGTAATTTAACTATATTTTATAATGGGGAATTCTTCCCTACACATTATTCTTGCAAGTTGCAATAAGTCAACATGAAATCTATTGTTCTTTTAGATTTTTCAACTTTCTACAAAAATAAACACTCAAAATGGTATTTTCAGGTTAGATCATAATGCATACATAATTACACAAAGTATATTAGCAGTAGCACAACAAAAGAATAAGATTACCTGAAAACGTGTTACTTTCCCTTTTAGGATGCTCAAGAAACAAGCACAAGGAAGCACCAAACTCTGCCAATGCACAGTTTTAAATAATGTTATAAATTAAGAAAACTTGATTAACAAACTCACATACTGCACAAAAACTTACAATAAGCATGGTCAATAGTGATCCGATCAACGACAAAATCAGGCCTGCGACGGATAACAATCTTTAAGATGACTCTTCAACATAACATAGAAATCATGGGTCAAAAAGATAAAAAAAAAAAAGAAAAGAAAAGAGTTTTGTGCATCTCAGAACTTATTCAGCAACTGTTTTGTCAGCATCGAAAATTTCATATTCATTTTATAGCAAATAGTGATGTACTTACCAAAGAAAGGAATGCAGAGACCCACAACCAAGGTAGAGATGACAAGAGCTGTTCTAATAAGGATTGAGAATATAAAGAACTGGGAATGATTTGATGGTATCAGCTCCTCCAGGCTCATTGCAATTGGAGTCAACGTTAACGCATATGTAGATTTCATTAAGAAAAATCATCGTTGTTCATGTAAGATGTTGTATCATGTATGCATTCTTCTTGTTGTTTCTACTCATTTTTCAAAATCAATCACAAGAAATTGGTCTACATCAGTCCAAATCATTTCCTAAATCTTCTTTGATTGTATCATATAATATATATAACTTCGAACTGTATTGAAATTGGAAGAGTTCATTGCATTATCTAGAAAGATAAAAGGATATTTGGTAAATGGGTTAACCACCTGCAAATAAACAAATCAGAGGCGAAGTATTAGCCACTAACTGCTACAGATTAGGCATTAACAGACAATAAACCTCAGCCACTGAGAGCTAAAAACAGGGAGGGAAAAAGTTTTGAGATAAAACTGGTCGGCACGACATGTTACTGCTCATAACCAGCAACATGCCTCCCACTGATTTACAAAGCTGTGGATATTGAAGTAAAAAATCATATTATTTTCATCTATAAGATGACCAAAAGCATCCCAAAATTGAACAGCAGTAGAAAAATTGAAGAGGTATATCTGACGGTAGAATATAAATAGGAGGGTCATCACCAGTGGAAAGGGAAGTTATAGTGACTATACCGTAGTCCAGACGGCAATCTTTGATGCAACCAAGTTATTTGGCAAGTTAAGAGTGAACTGTGACAGTGTCGATTCTCCAAACATTGAATATCCCATAAAAGCAACTCCAGCGTACATCAAAGTACAAGTAACAAAACTGCATTAAGACTTGAAACTTTTAGTGTAAAACGATTTTGTTCGCGGGAGGACATTAAACTTCTTATTCATTCATTTGACTTGGTGAATGATAAAATAGGTAGATGAGTAATAAATTGAACACTTTCTTATCATAGTTCTGCATTTTACATTACCATGTTAAGAGCACTGCAGGGAATTGACTTGGTTTCGCCATTGAACTATAAATGTTGGGGAAAACAGCGTGTCCAGAATAGCAGAAGCCATACAGACCAATAGCAATAGGAAGTGTTGTAGGATTCAGTAACGTCGTTGTCTCCTTGCCTTGGAAACCGATACCATCCACCAAACCAATCCAGAACAAGCATAGGACCACCAATATTGATGCGATAACTCCACCAGCTGAAGCAGCAAAATTGATGGTGCAAGTATGTTTATAACCATCTCTCTGTAAATGCTTGAATATCATTGTGCAATATCACCATAAAGCAAACAAGACATGACAAATTATATATATATACACACACATGGAGCAGTTTTTCAGACACAATTAACCTGCTCACAGGTCTCGAATATTTCAGGTTAAAGTGTCGAAAAATTCAAGAAAGTGAAGCAGATAACTGCTGGAGATTAAATTCTGCTGCATGAACAATGAAAGAAACCACAAGGGATGCAGATGATAATTCAATAAATGTAATACTGCTATTACTAGAGTAGCTTGGCTAGTTGTTACCACTTACCAGAGATGTAGCTAAGAATGGTTAGGTCCCGGAGCCAAACAGTAGGAAGAACAGCAATTGTAGTCATCAGAGCAAATAAGAGGTGTGGATTTAACTCATATCCACCCAAATTTAAGTAGGCATTTGGAAATAGAGAAGACAAGTTATCACTCTCCAAGATTATGTACTCAATACAAGAAGCCTGAAGCAAGAGAAATTTCCAATAAGTGTCTCCATAGTAACATTATAATAATTAGATTCATGATAAATTATATTGCCCGGTTATATCAAGAAATGAATAAAATATTTTTCAAAGTTAATGAAATGAACATACATATTAAACTGATGAGAAAGATATTATATTTTTCGAGAAATATTGGAAGGATAGTGGAAGCCGGTAGGGGAAAAAGGAAAGGTGGAGCTAGTATATTTCAGAAGTTTTTAGGATGATTCAATAAAATGAAAATTATTGTCAATTATTTTGAACTTCAACTTCCAGTTAGAGAGCAATCTAAGGTTGAAAGTAAGGGATAATTTTAGGAAACAATTCACTTCATTCTACCTACATCTACATCTTTGGAGTCTGGACTTGTATTTTGCTAATTATTATTTCAGATAATAAATAATTTTACCTCATATCTAGATATGAATGGAGATAACAAGCAGTATATATACTAAGTCACACGTGTTGAATAATGACAGTAACTAAATGTAAAAGTTTAATAAAACAAATAAAAAAAAAAAAGGAGTTGCAGCAGGCAGGGCACCGACGGCGACAACGGCCAAACGAAAAGTGGACCCACGTGGAGCCCCTGGATTCAGATAGGTACAGAACAGTCAACATTTCAAAATCACACAATTTACATTCATTGGTTAGAATCAGACTACACAAAACAAACAACAACAACACATACTCACTCAATGAGGCCAGCTGTGTACTTACGTATAATTCCAGGTACAATATTATCTGCATTACAACACATCATTTTGGTTAGTTTATAATATCCCTTTAGTAAATTAATTAATTAATTATTTATACCACATTAAATAAAAATAAAAAGAAATGAGGCATACCGAGATGGCGACTCGACCGGTGGTGCCGAAGGCTGCTTGGCCAATGTCTGGGTAAGTTTCGAGCTCCGGCTTACTTTCTAAGCAGTCCCGCAGGAGGAGTCCGGTGTAGTAACACAGCACAGCGAATATGAGCAGAATGGACAGTCCAAGCCATCCGCCCTCTTTCGCTGCATACGGCGTCGTTAGTATTCCAACACCACACAGCACATTCCCACCTGCGTCATTATCATTATAATTATAATTAATCTTCACTTCATATTATCCACACATAAAAACAATCTGTTTCCTAGTCAAAAAATTGTTAAAATCCTCTTAATATAACAGAATAATAAGGCTAAAAGCCGTGGCTTCTGCCGCCTGATTGCAGTTCATGTGCGCTATACGCTGTAGCGTCCAAATGACGCCAAACGGGTGAAGTTTATTTCATGTGAGATTTTAGGCATGTCGGGGTTGGGTTGTTGTCTGTAATGAGTGAAAATAGTGATAAAAAGTAATCACATTCACAGTGTTCATGTGTGTGAGCGTTTTGCAATCCGACAAACTTTAAAGAATCGCCGCGTCTATGAAAAATTGTGCAACTTTGGGCAGATGCAGAAGGTCCATTATTTGATTTCAAGCCGTTTTTGGGAGAAAGAGAAAAGAAAGGAGTTTGGGTCTGAGAAGAAAGAAAAGGAAGGTCTCTCCCAATTGTGTAAAACCAGCTGTTGAATTAGGCATGCAAAACTGTCACGTGGTTAGGCCCCTCTGCCTCTGGTGCTGGTCCTTTCAGATTTCTGACAAAGCCGATCAATCAAATATGAAATTCCATGTGGCTGTCGCTAATGCCCAAGATAGCAGTCTTTTTTGAATAACAAATATACACTTTTTTAAATAATAATAATAATAAAAAAGAGATATTTTGCTGACATGGGGACGTTGATAAGGATGATATGTTGTTTGGCAAAAATTCTCTAAATAAGATGAGTACAATAAGGGACTTGAAATCATGTGCTGCACAAATAATTGCAGGTACATAGCCAAAATTTTAAACTATTGATAGCAGAAACAAATATACAAAAATGAAAAAACAGAGTAATAGCAGAGGATTAATAAACTAGATCAAAATCCCTAAATCTTTTCAAAAACATCCATAAATCCACACCGACCAACCCTCCAAGGCAACACTAGCCACCAGAAACAAACAACTGTCATGCCTATGAGACAGAGTACTAAATTATAATAGGGAGAAAAAGTAGTCTGCATGTAAAACGCCACATGCCGGGTTCATAGGCCCCAGACCTCCACCAAAATACTGCCAAAATACTGTTAAGGATGAATAAATAATCACTCAAACCAAACTTTTGGGTTAAGTGGTAGTTTGTTCATCTAGTATCAGAGCGGGAAGCCTCGTGTTCGAATCTTGTATTGTTGTTTGTTTACCATTTATATGATTTTTACTTGTTGGTCCTTGTGCAATTATCTAAACCCACGAGTGAGGAGAGTGTTAAAATATCCACATATGAATTAAATTTATCCAACCCATCAAGTTTATTCATCTTTAAATGGTACTTAACAAATGCAACATGTTCACCTACCATACTATATGCTTTTGGAATGCGAGAGAGATGCAAGGAATAATCTATGGACATAATATTCTATAATGTGTTTGATTAGAAGTACTTACCATTAAGCATAGCTTGACTGAATGTGCTTCGGCGAGAAGTGGGGAACTCATGTGAAACTTTGGAAGGTTTGTCATCTTTCCTTATGGATGGCCTCCTTGAAGTGAAGGGTAGAATCAGAGAGTGAGAGCTAAGTCGTTGGTGTGGCGGTGGCTGCTGCTGCTGCTCTTCTTGCTTCTCGTCGTCCACCGTGGGCAGCAGCGGTTTAGTTGCCGAAGTTAACGACTCAGGAGTGTGCCTCCTCGTTAAAGAAGAGGATAGGAACGAGCTTCCCCATCTCGTTAAGGATGAATTCCCCAAAATCCCAATGTTAGGCGATGGCACACTTCCCAGCATATCCATCGACTGTCTGAAACATAATAAGATAACCCCTAAATTTGAGTATTACCATTACCAAAACCATCAAATTTTAGACCATACTAATCCAAACGCCGGCCCGTGAGAGTCTCTACATGTTTTTTCATTTGGATTTTTTTTAGTTCAGACAAAATGTGGAGTTTTCCGGGATATATGTTCTAACTCAATTGAGATATGTTCTAAGTTCGTTTTTAATTTGAATAAGTTGAATTTACTTATCCATTAAAAACAATAGAAATTCAGTTGAAGAACAGCATTCGAATGGAAACATACATCAGTAAACGAGTGGCTATAATTTCTCAGAAAGCAAACGGATTAAGGAGTCTCAGTCTGGAGCAGATAGAAAAGAGATTGATAGAGGAACAAAAAGCCTAATCTATTGAGATGAAAAGAGATGGAAATACCTGTAACTTTGAGGCCAAGTGGTGGTGTAGGAATTAGGTTTGCTCCGTCTCCGATTTTCAGTCGAAAAATCGGAAGAATCCGAATCGTTTCCAGCGCCTTCTTCACCTTTATTCACTACATTTTCCTGATCCTCCTCTTCTTCACTCTCATACAAGAAACTCTGTTCCGAAACGGAATTCTTCATCTTCTCCTTCCTCCAATCCAATCAATCCGAACTCCTTATTGTATACTCCACAGAGCTCGAAGATTCTACAGAGTTGAAGACAGAAGTAAGCGGATTATGGATAATACAAAATTTAGGGGCGATTGCGATTGTTTTTTTTTTTTCAGAGAAATGCTACGGTCCTGCTAGCTTGAAGCCAAAACG